GAGAACGCAGGGTTACTCGTGGTCCCTAAAGTCTCCAAAAGTAGATCAGGAGCCAGAGCCTTCAGCTATCAGGCTCCTCTCCTGTGGAATCATCTTCCTGTTACGGTCCGGGAGGCAGACACCGTCTCCACATTTAAGACTAGACTTAAGACTTTCCTCTTTGATAAAGCTTATAGTTAGGGCTGGCTCAGGCTTGCCCTGTACCAGCCCCTAGTTAGGCTGACTTAGGCCTAGTCTGCCGGAGGACCCCCCTATAATACACCGGGCACCTTCTCTCCTTCTCTCTCGTATTCTATTACTGCATCTTGCTAACTCGGCCATTCTGGATGTCACTAACTCGGCTTCTTCTCCGGAGCCTTTGTGCTCCACTGTCTCTCAGATTAACTCATATCGCAGCGGTGCCTGGACAGCGTGACGTGTGTGGTTGTGCTGCTGCCGTGGTCCTGCCAGATGCCTCCTGCTGCTACTGCCATCATTAGTCATTAGTCATACTTCTACTGTTATTATACACATATGACTATTGTCACGCATGTATACTGCCAAATATTAATACATACTTTCAACATATTGTACCACAGTAGCCAGAACTATAACTATAATATTATTACTTTCAATAATGTTGTTGTAACCTACTGTCATTACCTGCATCTCTCTCTCTGTCTCTCTCTCTGTCTCTCTCTCTCTCTGTCTCATTGTGTCATGCGGATTACTGTTAATTTATTATGCTGATCTGTTCGGTACGACATCTATTGCACGTCTGTCCGTCCTGGAAGAGGGATCCCTCCTCAGTTGCTCTTCCTGAGGTTTCTACCGTTTTTTTTCCCCGTTAAAGGGTTTTTTTTGGGGGAGTTTTTCGTTATCCGCTGCGAGGGTCATAAGGACAGAGGGATGTTGTATACTGTAAAGCCCTGTGAGGCAAATTGTGATTTGTGATATTGGGCTTTATAAATAAAATTGATTGATTGATTGATTAGGAAATCATATCTTGAGAGACAGAAAGAAGCGGGGGGATTGGCATTACCAAATTTTTTGCATTACTATTGGGCTTCCAACATTCACAAAGTCATCTACTGGGTACCAAATTTCTATCAGGGCACTGGACCATTATGGGCTGTGTCCCTACCATCAATGCTTTGTGCACCACTACCTCTCAAAAAAAGCCAGACAGTCAACCCCATTGTGAATGGCTCACTGAAAATATGGTCCCAGTTTAGGTCACATTTTAAACAGAAACAGGCGCTCACTTTGTGACCTATTGTGTCCAATGGGCTATTTCCGCCTTCATTAGTAGACTCGGCTTTCCAGTTATGGTTCAGAAAGGGGCTACGGTGTGTAAGGGATCTCTTTCAAAACAATAACTCTATTTCTTTTGAGCATATTGTTAGAGAGCATACCTAAATCTCATTTCTTCAGGTATTTGCAAGTGCGTAGTCTAGTCAAAAAGCATTTTGTTTCCTTCCCATCTCTTCCAGTAGGTGGTTGGATTGAGGAACTTTTAGATTGGGATCCTCTTGAACGTGGTCTTACATCTAGATTGTACAGTGCAATTCAAAGGGTGGCATCTCCTTCTTTGAACCATCTCAGAGAACAATGGGGTAAAGATTTTGGAGCTGCTATTTCAGATGAAGTTTGGCAGTTTGCAATTGAACGGATCCATTTAACATCTATCTGTGTAAGACATGGGTTATTACAATTTAAGATAATCCACAGACTCCACTTCTCAAAAAGCAAACTTGCTAAGATGTTCCCAGGGACAGACCCAACTTGCTCCCATTGCCATCAAGACGAAGCCACCCTTTATCACATGTTTTGTACTTGCCCAGCCCTGGTGTCATTCTGGGCGGCTATCTTTGAGACCTTTTCATATATCTTTGATAAAGATATACAACCAGACCCAGCAATTGCAATATTTGGGATAGCCCCTACGGAAGTCTCACTGTCAGTGGCTCAGGCGGATGCACTGGCTTTTTCTTCACTACTAGCACGGAGGCTAATACTGTTACAGTGGAAATCTAACAAGCCACCATCACACTCTCAATGGACAGAAAGTGTTATGGCATATTTAAAGCTAGAAAAACTCAAATACTCTACAAGAGGCTCAACTAAGAAGTTTTTCAAAGTTTGGCAGCCATTTCTCTTTTACTTTGAACATGAATTTGTATCTAAACAGCAGATGTGGGGCCCCCTGACACCCCTCCCACATACCTACACCCGTGCACGCATACACCCACACAAACACATGCACGCACACACACATGGGTATAGAGGTATGAATGTATTTTATTTTATTAACTATTTTATTTCTATTTCCTTTTTTTTTCCCTTTTCTCCCTCATTTACTTATACATTTGTTTGATGTGTTTTGTACTTTGTGTTGTTTGGTGTCTTGACTATATAATTTTGAAAATTTCAATAAAAAGATTTAAAAATAAATATTATGTGATTTCATTGATGTTTTGACAGGGGAATTTCTTTGATAAGCTTTTAGTGGCTTCTAACCTCTCCGGCACTTGTCTTTTTTTTAATCTTGTAAATTTTATACTGTCAGTTTTTAACATTATGTGCAAATAAACTCATCTAAACTAAAACTAAACATTATTCATCCCCTTATGCGTTGCCACGCATGTTTCCTCCTCCTGCAGCTGCCACGGTGTTGGCCTTTTCTGCAAAGTTGCTTTTCTCCTCATATTTTAGTAGAATTAATCTCTGATCCTCACATGAGAAATACTTTCTTTTTTCCTCACATACGGCGCTCTGTCAGGATGCTCAGTGACGCTCAGTGACATGATTGTGATTGGTCCGCTGCGTGCGCGTTCACGGCTCTTGATAAAGCAACCCTGGGTTGAGTTACCGAGTTGATATCCAGCTTCGTGATACCTTTTATCCTGATTGCCATTGTTAGGGTTAGTCAACCCAGGATAGGTCTGGGTCTGTAAATTTCCTACTGCATTGGTCAAATGTATTAAATAAGTATGAAACTGACACTCTTTCATCCTCATCAATTATTATCAAAAATTCAACTATAAAAACAGAATGTCTTAGTTTTTATTTAATAGAAATTGTGCATATGTTCATTGGTAGCCTTTTAATAGGCATACAGGGTACATATAAGTTTGTGATCTTCCTCCAAGCAGGTGTTAAGATATCATATCTGGATGATATTACAGTCTGTGCCTTCAGGAGAGAGCGCATCAGAGACCGACATGTTTGAACATGTCTGAAGTGACGAACGGCTCATTTGCTGTTTACAACTGCTCAGACATTCACAGACGCTCACTGAAGGTCCGATACTTAATATGGGTGTAGAAACAACTTCACTGCTTTCTCCATGATCCACCCCTGTGTAAACACATGTTCTGCTATGGAGAAATGGGGGTGTGGCAGTATGGTAATTGCAGATAGCGAGCATGCGCCTGTCAGTTTAAAATGATTCTGATTGACAAACACAGTGGTAAAAACAAAATCAGCTGGTGTGCATGTGTCATGAATCTGATGGTGAGTTTTCGTGCGCACTTATTTTATGCAGAGTGAGAGCGTTTCTATGCACATATAGTAAATGACTCCCATTGATGTTATTAAGATTCTGGATGGCGTACAGAGCAGATTTTTTAAAGCAGTTGGACCTTCACCTTGTGTCCCACCTCAATTTCATGGTAGGCTACTGCTGACACAAACCCTGACCCTATTTTATAGGCCTCTGCTCGAAAATTGCATATCCATAATGAAATGAATATATCTCTGCAACCACAAGGTCTATTTGAATACTTTTGGTGTCATGGTAAAGGGAACACTTGTGAGATTTGTTATGATGTGTAAATATCAGTATATGTGTTATATGTGAAGAGTAAATGAAGATGGCACACAGCACAAATGAATTTTTGAGGTTCGCCTAAAAAAAAAAGCATTTTTGGGATGAGTATCCCTTTGGATTGATGCAGCAGCAGCTCTAAACCTCTATCACATCATAGTACAATATGTGAACATTAACTCTGCAAAGGTTGATTCTGATAAAGTGAAGCAGAACAACATAAGAGAGGTTTTAGTACAGAAAATTCAGACAAGCTTTCCAAAATTGCATCATGTTTGCATGTGATTTTTGTCATGTACAATCCTATTTCTTTCATTTTTTGTTTCTGTAAATCCCTGCTGATGTTTAGGGTATACACATAGAACTATTGTTTCTATTTTGAGCTTTGGAGGCCCGTATCTCCGCAATGGCTTGGCCGATTTGAGTGATTGACACCTCGTTTGATTCGTTAGACCCAATAGAATGACGCTATACCCACCAAAACGAGACTGACAGCACTGTAAGCCAATCAGAGTCAGCAGAACACATTGTGGGGAGATGTCGGCTGCTGTGAGTGGTCATTGTTTTTGTTCCCCCGGAACCTTTTTTTCCGCCCGGATTCAATGATGGACAACTTCCGGTAGTACGCGAACGGAGCGTGAATCAGCAGAATGCACATTTTATGGCGAAATTAATAAGGTAAGAGCCATATTACGAATATATTTTGGCAAAGAGATTTCTGTTGTTGTTCTTTGGGCTGTAGCTCTGTGATGGTTAAAGGGAGAGTGATACATGTGGAAAGAGTGTCTCAGCTTTCATTTAAGATGAACGGCGTGTATTTTGAATAACTTGTGGTCGAGTTAGAGCCCGAAATATACTGAGTGGGTCGGGATATCGGTGCTGTTTGGAGTTGTTGGAGTTAGTTGTTGTTGTTGTTTATTTAGTTGATCTTAAAACTGAGTTTGGGTCATGTAAAAAGTTTTTTACAGCTGAGGTTATGCTGTTGAATTTGATGGGCAACATCACTATATTCTTCTGATCAGTGTATTGATACACACCAGGCCTTTATTAGCAGCTCTAGAGGTCACCCTAACATCCCAATTGGGGATGTTAGGGTTCAACAGGTGTTCAAAGCATGGCCAGACCAGAATTGCATCTGTGTCTTGTGCACATTATTTTCTTGAACTAAATAACACAAAACAAGGACCACATGTTTGATGTTTGAGTCACCTTTTATCTCTTTTCTTCCTCAGTTTCAGTTTGAAATATTCATTAAAGTTTTTCTTAAATTTAGTCAGATGTCATCTTAACTCCCTCGCCTTCAGCACAGAACTCTGCAGAGAGAAAAGAGATAAAGAATTCAGTTCTGTCTGACATCACACATCTTGATTTCATAGTTTAATTTGATAGGTTTAAAAGGTAAAGCACCGTTCTTGGGGTCGTAGAGGAAGTCTGGCTCTCTGGAGAAGCCAAGGCAGCTCGCCTGCTGCTTGAAATGCTCCAGGTCTGAGTCCTTCAGGGTCGACTCTCTGCCTGGAAACAAAACAACAGAAATGCTTGACAAGTGCTTTGGATATAAAGTGTGTTATTTTGTTCCTCTGGATCATTCCTTCTTACTCATCAAATAAAGAGCCTGAAAGTTGATCTCATCCTCTGTAACGTTGCTGTTGAAATTCATCTTGTCCAGTAACTTCTTGAGGTTTCTGGCGGTGCTGTTAACGTTAAAGAGCAGACAGCTGTCACAGCTTGGCAGCAGCTGGAGCGCAGAGGTGAGGTTGGCGACTGAGGACAGAAACAAAGTCAGACTTTAAGTAAAAAAACAACATTCTCCACCCGAAATACTGTAAATTTAGCCTCTAATCCATTATCAGATATCTGCAGATGTATGCAGGATCCAGGCAACAGGACAAGATTTTGGTATCAGAAGTATTGTGGTTTCTGTTTGCCCAGCAAACAGGCCCCTGTGGGAGCCATGTGGGCCCCATGTGGGCTTTTTGTGGGCACTGGGGGCCAGGGCCAACCCCCACCAAACCTAAACAGGCCCAGTGTGGGCTGGCCCAGGTGAGGCCCACAGCAGAACTTTTCCTTGGGCTCCCTGCCGGCTCTCACTGGGCAGCCCACACTAGCAAACTGCCCACAGAAAACCCACACAGGCCCAGTGTATGTCAGCCCTTTCGGGCCCACAGCAACTTTTCTGCCTCTGGGCCCACACAGGTTTTGGGTTGTCAGCCCATACTCCCTGCAAATAAGGTTGTGATCATCTTACCCTTTTTTGTCCAGCCTAAATGTTATTATTTGCTGGGTAGCCTGGACTGACTTCAGACTTCAAGTTTTAGGGGGGAGGATTCCAAATCTCCAAATCGGAAAGAACAATTAAGACTTGAAGACTATACCTATATTCTGTAAATTAATTTCTGTGATATTATATTATATTATTGTTATTCGATTGTGATAGGTATTACCTTGAATTTGACATTCATTTTGATTGTATTATAACAATGACAAAAAAAAAAAAAAAATTAAAAATTAAGATAATAAAATCAAAATTTAAAAATGTTAAAAATAAATGGATGCTGTTTTTGTGAAGAGGAGATCCTCCTGGTTATGGCACATGATGTGTTTACCGGGTGCTTGCTGGGTACTGGGTGTGACGTAGGGTCACAGGAGGGATGGCCAACTCACGGATGTACACGCCCTGGCGGACTTGATGACGTTTTAAACTGTCCTTAATATTTGACAGGTAACTTTACTTTTTTAAATGACATGTTATTTCTTCGACTGTGACAGAAATGTTAATTCAACTCTTATGGTCATTTCTTGGACAGTGTCCCCGTTCGTTCCTGATTCGATATTTGGAAATATTTTGTCTGCTGAAGAACAGTGTATCACTGCGCATGCAGCCTGCTACAACAACAAGTTTTTCAAGCCGAGTATTCCAAGGTAAGTCTGTATTTTAACTTATATTTGGTTCTTAAACCAATTTTTTCGCTTAATGTCAAATATTTATTGACAGTGCAGGGCTTGAAATTTTTTTACATGGTAGCACTGGTGCTCCTAACTTCAAAAAGTTATGAGCACCAGCAAAATTTTGGGAGCACCCACCGTAATGTAAGAAGCACTAACAGTGTAATCAATTTTTTTTATTGCAACAAAAAGTCGACATTATACTGTATACATTACATTGTATGTGTATAGTACACTTATCATTAACTTTTTCAGTTGAAGACATTTTTAGAAAAAACACCACTGAACCACTAAACACCACTGTGAATGAAAGAGAAACCTTAGATGATGATAATACTGATGATCAGTATTATCATCATCTAAGGTTTCTCTTTTTCTCTTTCCCAATTGGTAAAACGCGAATGGGTCTGGACATGGACTGTACATTTTCTCTATTCCCGAGGGGCTGTATCAACGGCTGTCACTCAAAGTGCCCCTTCACGCAATTGGAAAGACGGAAAAACAATCAAAGTAAACGAAACGTGTGACGTAGGCTAGCACAACGCCACTGACATTCTTGTGAATGAGACATTCGACTCAGGGGGAAAAATAGTTGCACCAGAAGAATTATTTACACTCGCACCTGTGCTCCCAATTATATTTTGAGGTCGCACAGTTGAAATTTTGTCACTGAGTAAAAGGGTTTTGGCTAAAAGTAAAGTCAAACATTACATTTTAGCGAAAATGATAAAATTGCTTTGTCCTTTAGCTAATGTTAGCTAGCTGGTTTAGCTCTAACCAGTGCATGCGCTCCACTCCACTCCTCTGTTTTTCAGGCAGTAATGTTACAGCAAGCGGTGGGAGAGATTTAACAATATGCTATTGTTAAAGTGGGACAGCGTGTTATTGGCAAACTGGGACAACTATTCAAGTCACTCTAAAGGTGGAAATAAGTTCCCTTTTTATTCATCCCTCATAAATTTAGCTATATATCACGATACATCAACAAATTTACTTAAATTGCACAAATTAAGGTAGCTTGTAATGAAAATGATAATCGTGATGCTTATGCTAGCTAGCTAGCAAGCCCTTGCCCTGCCACCCCACACGTTATGCATACTCCTGTTTAAACTGATCTAAAACAAAAACTATAGTAGCTAGAACATTCATTTTTTTGTAGGTGAAAGCTAAGATTTATGTCTTTTACATTATTATGTTGCACACTTAGGGCTCTAGTTTCGCTGACCGGGCAAGGCAGGGGTGCAGCGCACCTGCGCTTCGCCAACTGGGTGTGGCCAGGCGGATTTTGCAAGTTTGGCACACCGTGCGCGCTGGTGCAGCTACTCCTCTGTCCCACCTCCGTCCCTCCTACCTGCGCAAGTTGGAAAGAGGGAGGAGAGAAGGCGTGGAGTGGGTTTTACACAGCCCATTCACATCACACCAATCAAATGAGCCCCTCTCCTCGCCCTTAAATGCGCCGCGCGGAGGCGTAATGAGAGTTTACTCAATTCGCCATGGCGGAAGATGATGTTTTGGTCCGGGAGGTCCAAGCTCGCAGTGTCCGAATATACGGAACTGCGAGCAGACCTCCACGGGCTGATGATGCAAAGGTAGCCTGGGAGGAGGTCACCACAATTGTAAATCAATGTTGCGTTTCTCTCGTTCGCGCGTGCTCTCTCTTTCTCTCTCTCAGTCTCACTCTGTTTCTTTTCTTTTGACTTTTCTAAGATGACAGATGCTGAATATATACTCCCTATCTGATGCTGTGGCTGTTTGTGGTTGGCTGAGAGGGATGTGAACTTATTAGTTTGCAGCTGTGTTAATCAAATCAGGTTGGGTTTCCATTGCGCGTGCCAAATGGTGCCAAACGGTGCCAGTCCCCTTTGATCTGACATCAGATGTGACGGGACAGTCGATATAGAGATACATTTATGTGCTGATTGCAGATAGTTGCATTGAATAGTGGTTTTTGTGGGTATTTATTGCATCGTTAATGTGCCTGATATTCTGGAAACCTGCCTGTGAGGTTTTGGTGACGTGTGCGCACTGTCCGCCGGTCAACCAAACTTCGGCTTACACCGGCTGCGCTCCACCTGCCCTGACACTAGACCTGGTTTCAGCTGGCAAGCTTTTAGCGCACCTTCTGCGAAGCCTTTTGGCACGAAACTGTCACTGCGCCAAGCTGGATCTGTCGACACCTCCCCCTGCTGCGCCGCCACACCCATCTCAGTGCACCTCGGTCTGCCAAACTACCAAACTGAGTGCGCCTCGGGTTGCGCTGCTCGAAACTAGCTCTGCGTGGGGTTCGCCACTCTTTGCCACCCTGTGCCACCCTGTGCCACGCCGGGAAACTAGAGCCCTTAGAGTACCAATGATGATATTAATGATGTTGCAAGTGTCCCAGTTTGGCAATATATGGTGTCCAACTTTACCAATAGCGCCTGGAAATTTTGGTTGTGGGTCAGTGAGTTTTTGGTGAAGGGTCATCCATCCTGTGTTTAATGTTTCTTTGCTTTTTCTTCTACATAGTATAGTAGAGATCACAAGCTATTTAGAATGGTATGATATGATGGGCCAAGACATTTGGTTCATAACTAGAAATTATGTTGAAGGTAAATTTTCAGAAAGTGTCCCAATGTACCCATATTTACCCTATATAAATATTAGGGCTGGATTAAAATAATCGATTCATCCAAATCAATCTTTACTGGAATGACCCCATATTGATTCATAAAATCCGAGATCGATCTTTTAATGTGCACTTTTTCCTATGGATGTGTGAAGCTTTAACCCCATTAATCTCGCCGGTAGTAAATGAGTCGCAGAGCTTAGCTCTGAACGACTGTAGTATTAAGAAGCTCCGACGTACTGGCTCTTTTATCTGTAACTGTTAACTTACTTTTTTACATTTGGGTGTAATTTATTATCATGCTGCAGTGTCTCCTCCTGCTGTCTGTGCGTCCTGGCTGCTGTGCCACTTTTATGCACACACACAGACACACAGCGGTGGAGACCGAAACGTGAAGATGATGTGAGCTGATGACAATTATGCTTGTTACTGTGAGTGCAATAAAACCTCCCTGAGGAAAAAGTTAAGACTTTATCAATACAGCTTATCAGCAACATGTAAACATGTAGAAAAGTGATATTTCAATCTGCTCTGTCTGCAGTCTCTCATCCACCACTGCTAATATTATGTTATAAACAAGCACAGAGGCTTTACACGGCTTTACAACGGTTTAGCTCAGTTCTCATATCTCATATCTTAAAACTTACCGGCGGTGGTCATGTGACCTGCAGACATTGAGTCTCCTCAGCAGCAGAGGGAGGAGCAGAGAGGACAGGAGGACTGATACTGACTGATATCTGTGTTCTTTATTCTTTCTAAACTTAACTCAGTATTGTGATGTCAAGAATATAATTTATTTTACTGACATTTTAATTTTGTTTCCAGTGAGATATTAAGTTTATATTGTGACTTTGCTGTTTTAATACTACTGTTGCTGCTCTAGAAACATTTAGTTATAAAATATTCAGTTTTAGTCCTGTTGTGAATTTATTATTCTAAAGAATAATTCATTGTAAATGTTACACTATTAGTACAGATGGAAATGAGCAGTTATAGCTAACTCTGGTGCAACCATCTCCTCATTTCTTGTAAATGATTAATGCTATTGCACACTGTCCCTTGATAAATTAAATAAACTAAACTCTGAGAATCTCTTTTGCATACTAGCAAAAATTGGTATCGTAACTGAAAATTATTCAATCGCAATGATATCGGATTGAATCGGATCAATTCAGGAAATCAGTGGCAATACCAAGCCCTAATATATATC